TCAGCGGCACGTACAGCCCCGTGCACGGCCGTATTGGGCAACTCCCGGGAAGGACAGGTGCTGCGTGTGACTAGTACGCAGCCCCTGTCCTTCTCTATGGGAGTACACAGCCGTACACCGCCCTAGGCTCACCCCAAGTGCAGGTCCGTACACGTGCGGGTGTCCCGGCTCCGATGCAGGCAGGATCCATGCTGTCAGCGTACGAGTACAGACGCCCGCATGAACGCACAGGGCGGGTGAGCGTAGGGCGGCGTACGGACAGGGGCAGAGTACAGGGGAAGCGTACTAAATCACACGCAGCACCTGTCCTTTCCGGGAGCTGTCGGATACGGCAGCACGGAGCTGTATGTGCTGACTTTTTCTCATGTGAATGAGGCCTTAGGCCCAAAATGGTGCGTTTCTCAGGTGCTCCATCAATGGAGCCAAAAACAAACAATACTGCCCAAAAAGAAGCTCAAGATCTTCAGGCTACAAGCGACAGACGACAGCGCTCAGGTGTAAACAGAAACCTTTGAAAATAATGGGATTCTTTATGACAAGTTGTCGCTTTTCTACAAACATGCAACAAAACGCCCAGGCGTGAATGTGGGCTCACATGCATTTTAGCTCATGACAACCCACCCTCTAGCAACCAATATTTTATTTCACCTTAACTGGGCAAAACAAAAAAGGCCGATGCATGAGAACACGCAACAAAAAACACACACTAAACAAATGCATGAAAATGTAGACGCACAATGTGAACAGAGAAATGTATTGGTATTTTAGAGACAGGCGTGAATCGAAACAATGCATTCATTCCAGATAGTCCATGACCTAAGGGCTTATTTACACAGACGCATGGGTATACGATGTAAAATACACCTGTATCTACAGCGCCCAGGATCCCCAGCCGCTGCATTTTTGGGTCCATGGCACTGTACTGCCACAATACGCATGTATACGATTATAAACGCATGTATGTTCTTGAACTCAGATGTTTGGCGTTCAGGAACTAACACGCATGCAGGGTACTTTCATTTACTCGGGTATGCATGTGTTTAGCATATTGTGTTCATACGCTGGGGCTCCCAGGTAGTACTCTATGCCGTATGCCCATGCGCCTGTGTGAATGAGCCGCAAGTACCCAGTCACACCTGCTGTGTGTGAACACCCCAAAGTGTGTACATTGGCACGCGTCCACGCAATGCAGTAAAAACGCATTACGTGATTGCAGTGCCTTTACTTGATAAAGGCACCTCAAACATGGCCGATAAAATGAACGTCTTTCCCTGTGCAACAAAGGCATGAAGCTCGCATCTCAAACGGCTGCATGAGACTCATTGCCAAGTTTGCCGCACGTGGGGCAACCCATTGAAAATGACTGGGCTGAGGCGCAAGCGACATGCGCACAAACACACAAGTGTGAATGGGCCTATGTCCCCGTTCAAGCAACGTGATCAAAACATGCAACATGTTTGCGGCAACATTACCTGTTAATAGCACCCCAAGCGCAGCTGGTAAAGCATGCATTTTTTCCTGCAGGTGGACGTGTGACAATTGCGGGGGGTGAAAAACACAGAACGCTCGCAGCTAAAAATGAGCTACTTTTTTGTGATTGTTGCGCGTGTGGTAGCCCATTGATTGAATGGGTGGATGTTTGACAACGGCATCAAATGTGCACACGGACGCGCACATACACATCGCTAGGTGTGAGCGGGGCCTAAAAACAAAAAGCTTTCTGCTGCACTCAATCTATGGCCGTGTACCTGACCCAGTGCTGTGAACTTGCAGATTCATAAAGCGGGGTCATTTCCTTTGAAC